ACACGTTGCTTAAGGGTTATCGGAATAAATTTGAATTTGATTTTCACATATCCTCCTCCATTGCTCATGAGCATATACATGAATATACATACATATGCATTATAAATTTGAAATGCAATTGTAAATAAAGTTGTTGTTTTTCTTCAGAAGAGTCGTAACCGAGTCCTCGGGATACGCCATCGCAACCTTCCCGTCCAGAAGAAACAGGTACGAGGACGCATTAAAGATAGCTCAGTTGATGCCCTCCGAGGAAAGTAACTATGACGAAGACGGCATAAAGATTTTTTACAATACGACCAAAGAACTGCGAGTCGACGGAACTGCAGATGGCGAAGAGGCTCGCAGATGAGACATACATTAAGAAGCTTTCCGTAAGGCAAGACATGTCCGTTGACCACCATCCAAAAACCCATTCCCTGACATGAAGAAGCATATGTCATGGGTCAATACCGAGTATGGAATCCCGTGTGGTGTGGTGTGGTGTGGTGTGGTGTGGTGTGGTGTGGTGTGGTGTGGTGTGGTGTGGTGTGGTGGTGTGGTGTGTGTAACGTAATATATGTGGGTGGGTTAGTGACTGAATTTGCGGATGTGTGTGTTCGTTGTACTTCTATGGAGGGGTGATGCGTATTTTGTCTCAAAAGCCAAAATGGTTGGTTGTTTAAATAGTGACACTTTAATAAACTATTCTTATTCTTATTCTTTTTGTTCATTGTCAAGATGCTGTGTATTACTTCCCAGACTGATGACATGTGTTATCATTTTTTATCTTCAAATATCACGATGTGCCCACTGATACCGTCATTATGTTCATTGCCTGATTGTTGAGAACTATCAGTCGCGATATGTTATATGATTGCTTTGTATAACATCGGCATGCTGTTCATTTTCATTGGGACTGGATGCTTTGCACAATAGCGATAGTATCTCACTGTTAATTATTTTTTGTATCATTTGCATTTACATAATTAAAGAACATATCAATTTAATCTGAATACGTCAATGTGTCAATTTGTTGTTCTAAAAAGTACAGGTATAAGTATTCATATTCGACTTCTTATCATTTGTATTTGTAAGAATTTTTTTAATTTTTTTTGCGCCTGTTGTACATTACATTTATGGTCGTAGTTTGTTGACTTTGCTAACAATATGAGACTGAGCCCCAAGAAATGTTTTGAACATTTGATTGCATTTTAAGCAATTTTGTGCCGTCTGGACAATATTCATACCAACAAATGTAACAGTGGCAAAAGTAAAAAAAAACAAAGATGGCGGATGTAAAATTTCGGAGTTAAATCAGTACTTTTAAAAAATCGGGAATAGTTCCTGCGCACCCGGCCACCTGGGTTCCATCCACTAATGCCTAAGTCCAATTTTGGCCTACAAAAAAATAAAACAGTGTGGAATAAATCCTACACAATGAAAACAACATACCCATGCTAGGAATGAACTCTTTGAAATTTCTTTGAAATCAACAAATATCTGCTGGTGTATATACTAAAAGAACTAATGCAATGATGCAGAAATGATGCTCTGATAGTAGGTGTCGCTGAAAATCACTGGTGCATGACTTTGTTTATTGTAGTGGATGTAGGCATTAGTGGACGAGGACGCCACCTGGGAGCAATACTGCCACAAACGTGCAATGTCCCTTTCCCCATGTTGAAGCATATTGAGAAAAGCATACCTTTGTACTTATTATCTTTTAAAAAACATAAAACATTAATACAACATATACCCCCGTGTCATGGGTTTTCGGACGCTGAATAAACATTCATAGTTTTTTCACATGAACAACTGTAAAACATCTCATTCACTTATAAAAGACAACTTTATCATAAAAAAGTCATTATTGGATTATTAACAATTTCTGTGTGACGCGGCCTACCCGTACACACGAATCCAAGCTCAGCACAAATTGATTTCAACACTTTCAAAACCGAAGTCACCGCCAATGCAATCACCCCCGACAGCTAATCCTCTCTGTGCATTTGACCATAACGTCTACTCACATACCAAGCACCGCGCCAGGAAAAGTACCAGACGCCTCAATCGCTTACCCGTCAATATCATTGCAAGGAGAGTATGTACTCCCGCTAACAGTGTGGAGTACTAATTAAACATTCCAGTAATGTTACACGCCACTATATCAGTTTTTTTGTAACTTGCTGATACTATATTGCACATACAAAACAATTATCCTCCTTTACAAACATATGCAAAGAAACACAGTGCCCAACTTTAAACACTTCAATTTGCATATATATATAATAATTATACACAAAAAAATAACAATTATCTCCCTTTACCAATATATACAAAGAAAACAAATTTGGATATACCATATATACAAATTTGTATATTTTTGTATATGTCGTATATACAAACTTGTATATTTTTGTATATATCATCATTCCAATCTTGTATATCCTTTGGAAATATCATCTTTCCAAAGGATATACAAGCTTGTATATATGGATTTTTTTTGCAGTGATAAGTTAGTGATATACCTGTGTATAATAACTAATGTAGTGATATACCTCTGTATAATAACTAGTATATTGATATACCTGTGTATAATAACTCAGGTAGTGATATACCTGTGTAAAATAACTAAGCTAGTGATATACCTGTGTATAATAACTAAGGTAGTTATATACCTGTGTATAATAACTAAGGTAGTGATATACCTGTGTATAATAACTAAGGTAGTGATATACCTCTGTATAAAAACTAAGGTAGTGATATATACCTGTGTATAATAACTAAGGTTGTGGTATACCTGTGTATAATAACTAAGGTAGTGATATACCTGTGTATAATAACTAAGGCAGTGATATACCTGTGTATAATAACTAAGGTAGTGATATACCTCTGTATAATAACTAAGGCAGTGATATACCTGTGTATAATAACTAAGGTTGTGGTATACCTGTGTATAATAACTAAGGTAGTGATATACCTGTGTATAATAACTAAGGTTGTGATATACCTGTGTATAATAACTAAGGTTGTGGTATACCTGTGTATAATAACTAAGGTAGTGATATACCTGTGTATAATAACTAAGGTTGTGGTATACCTGTGTATAATAACTAGGGTAGTGATATACCTGGGTTAATAACTAAGGCAGTGATATACCTGTGTATAGTAACTAAGGTATTGATATACCTGTATATAATATCTAGGATATAGAGGTTATCACGCGAGTGTGTTTGGGGATGGTGAATATCCTGCATTAGGAGATAAACACTGTATTTAGCGAGCCTTGGCGAGTTAAATACATAGTGTTTATTCCTGATACAGGATATTTACCATCCCCAAACACACAAGCGTGATAACCTCTTTATCATATAATGTCATTCTTTAATTCTATAATGCTATTCTATAATAATTAAAGTAGTGATATACCTTGGTATAATAACTAAGGTAGTGCTATACCTTGGTATAATAACTAGTGTATTGATATACCTGTGTATAATAACTAAGGTAGTGATATATCTGTGTATAATAACTAAGGTAGTGATATACCTGTGTATAATAACTAAGGTAGTGATATACCTGTGTATAATAACTAAGGTAGAGATATACCTGTGTATAATAAATAAGGTAGTGATATACCTGTGTATAATAACTAAGGTAGTGATATATCTCTGTATAATAACTAGTGTATTGATATACCTGTGTATAATAACTAAGGTAGTGATATACCTGTGTATTATAACTAAGCTAGTGATATACCTGTGTATAATAACTAAGGTAGTGATATATCTCTGTATAATAACTAGTGCATTGATATACCTGTGTATAATAACTAAGGTAGTGATATACCTGTGGATAATAACTAAGGTTGTGGTATACCTGTGTATAATAACTAAGGTAGTGATATAACTAAGGTAGTGATATACGTTGGTATAATAACTAAAGTAGCTACTATATTTGGTTGAGTGAGCAGGAGACTCCATACATGAAAGATGGTTTCACTTTCCTAAAGGGGTGGAAGGCTACATATCATAGCAACATAAAATAAATGACAGAAATCAAACATGTATAACCATTTCTCTATTTATTGAAATTAGTATATATTATGTTAAAATTTCAAATACTATCTCAATGAGAAATTTTGATGAGAACTTCAAACATAATTTGAATAAATGTGTGCCAGCTCGTGTGTGTGCGTGTGCGTGTGAGTTTGTGTGTGCCAGTGTGTGTGTGCATCTGTGTGTGCCAGTATATGTGTCCGTCTGTGTGTGCCAGTGTGTGTGTGTGTGCTGTGTCTGTGTGTGCCAGTGTGTGTGCGTTTGTGTGCCAGTGTGTGTGCCACTGTTTGTGTGTGTCTGTGTGTGCCAGTGTGTGTGTGTGTGTGTGCGTGCGCGCGTCTGTATGTGCTAATGTGTGTGTGCCAGTGTGTGTGTGTGTGTGCGTCTGTGTGTGCCAGTGTGTGTGTGTGTGCGTGTGCGTCTGCGTGTGCCAGTGTGTGTATTTTGTGTGTGTGAGTGATTGTGGCTGCTTGTACTAATGCCGGTTTTCTAGTGCTAAGCCGTTGAGATGCTAGGCCGAAATTTTAACATGAACCTACTTAAACATCACAGCACTATGCTAAATACACCATATGATTAATATCTATACAATGTTACATAGACATGATTAAAGTCTATACAAAACTATACACACCACTTGATAAATATTTATACAAAGCTCTATACACTATATGATCAATATCTATACAATGCTATATACACCACATGATCAATATTTATACAATTAAGATATGAATTTCCCATTGTGGTGGTCTACTCAAGTATGAATGCTTAGACCTGTGCTAAGTTAAAATCGTGTTGCGCTGCAGCGCGTATGAGGACTACAGGGATGTATGTATCTCAACTGAGTTTGAAAAATACGTGATGTGACACGCGTCTCATAACCGGCACACGTGAACGTGATTTTGTCCAATATCGCGGAAAGCTACTTCGGCGTTTGTGTTTGCGTTTTTTTCCAAACCATTTTAAATGATTGTAGGGTAATCGGCGACGTCCACAATGATCATTGGTGTTTTAATATCCCCCAGATCACTGATATACTATTTTTGAAAATCAATTCTCCGAGCAAATATTCAGTATTCTGATTTCAAAACATACACTTGACCCTCAATAACGCCGTGAAGGGTGATTTAGTAAAGTGTCGACATTGGTGAGATTTCGATGTCATTTTCAGTATTTTTCCTTTGCCTAAAATGCCATTGAAAAATATCACAGGACAGGATATTGTCCACAGAATTGAACACCTAAAAGAATATTTGTGAGCAACGTGTATTTTCAATTGTCTATAACTTCAAAGTGAGGGACATATTTGTCATATATAGATCAATACTAGCATCTATACAATGTTATACAAACAACATCATTAATTACTATATAATGCCATATACTCCACATGATTGACATTCATACAATGCTATATACACCATATGATTACTATCCATACAATGCTATATACAACAAATGATTAATATCCATACAATTCCATATACAAAATATGATTAATATCCATATAATTCTATACAAACCACATTATTGATATCTATACAATGCTATATACACCTTATGATTAATATCCATAGAATGCTATATACAACACATGATTGATATTCATAAAATGCTATATACAACACTTGATAAATGTACATACAATGCTATATACACCACATAATTAAAATCTATAAAAAGCTATATACATCACATGATTAATATCCATACAATGTCATAAGCACCACATAATTAATATCCATACAATATACGTGCAATGCTACATACACCTCATGATTAATATTTATACAATGTCATGTATACCACATGATTCATAGACATACAATACTATAAGCGCCACATAATTAATATCCATACAATGCTATGAGCACCACATGATTAATATCAATACAATGCTATATACACCACATGATTAATATCCATACAATGCTATATACAACACATGATTCATATCCATAAAATGCTATATACACCACATGGTTAATAACCTAATATCAATACAATGCTTTATACACCACATGACTTATATCCAAACAATGCTAAATACACCACATAATTGATATCCATACAGTGATATATACACCACATGATTAATATCCATACAATGCTATATACAACACATGATTCATATCCATATAATGCTACATACATCACATGGTTAATAACTTCTTATCCATACAATGCTATATACTCCACATGATTGTTATTCATACAATGCTATATACACCTCATGATTAATACACATAAAATGCTATCTACTTATTATCGTGATTATTATCAAATTATTTAATTTTGTTCTGATTTTTATAAGTGTTCAGAAACACCATGCAGAGATGTCAGGGTTGTAAACTAAACTCTATCGTGTGCTAAATGCCTCTTGGCTATCACCCTTCAACCAGGAACTGACTAATCCCAACTGTCTATACTTGATAGGCGTCCACACAATCGCAATTGAGTGTGCACTATTTCAACTGAATTGTTAGTACTCACGTATAACTATTAACTGTGCATTTATACTTATATTACCCAATGACATTTAGGATCTATATTTTTAGCCTGTAAGAACAGAGAATGGGTCACCACATTCTATGTAAAAAAGCATGAAGAACGTAAGTGATCACGAACACAGAGCAGAACAGACTGCTGGCTCGGGGCTGTTCCAGCAACTGCCCCTCCCTCGAACAAAGAATGGGAATAAAAGCATCGACGGCCAGTGGGCCATTCAAGCAGAAGGGACGATCGAACTTCTGCAAACTATGTGAATTGAACTGTATGTACAAACTGTAGATACACATATATCATCTCCATGAATCATTATCATAAATCAAGTGGAACCCCACATAACAAATATAGACAATATAACAATGTCAACGAAAATAAGTCATTGACAGAACTTTCACACTGTTAATCCCACAAGATATCACAGAGAAAAGGATAAACAAGTTTATTCCCTCGGGTAAATCAGAACATCCGCCTCTCCCTCGGACAAAGAGGACTATAAACTATATGTTGATATCACATGTTTTCACTGACAAGACATGATTCACTATGGATGTGATACCTCTCTACATGTCCACTCTCAACAAGTAGGGTGATCAACAAACATAACAGTGTCAAACCGACACGTAGGTGTCCGGGTGGTGTCATGGCAGGGTCCATTGGTGTTCACCACCTAGCTCTCACACACACTATCCAAAACCTTGTTCGCAACTTGATTGACACTCTCATTCAAAATCCAATTCAGACTATCAGTCCCTGTTGCATTCATCAGTAGGGGTTAGATCTGCACCTTCAGATACAAGGAGATGATAAACATCATTGTGTCCTCCTTTCAATGCCATCATCATTGGTATTTGTTTCTTCTCACCTCCCCGTCTGTTAATATCACAAGTTTTCAGGGATAAGATGTGTCTCACAATAGATATGTTACCTCTTTCACATGCCAACATCAGACAGTCTGTGTTGTATTTATCAGTAAGGGTCAGATCACCACCTTCAGAGACAAGGAGATGATAAACATCATTGTGTCCTTCTTCCAATGCCATCATCATTGGTGTTTGTTTCCGCTCTCCTCCCCGTCTGTTGATGTCACATGTTTTCATGGATAGGATGTGTTTCACAATAGATATGTTACCTCTTTCACATGCCAACATCAGAGAGTCTGTGTTGTATTCATCAGTAAGTGTCCGGTCTGCACCCTCAGATACAAGGAGATGATAAACATCATTGTGTCCTCCTTTCAATGCCAACATCATTGGTGTTTGTTTCCTCTCTCCTCCCCGCCTGTTACTATCGCATGTTTTCATGGATAGGATGTGTCTCACAATAGATATGTTACCTCTTTCACATGCCAACATCAGACATTCTGAGTTGTTTTTATCAGTAAGAGTCGGATCTGCACCTTCAGATACAAGGAGATGATAAACATCATTGTGTCCTCCTTTCAATGCAATCATCATTGGCGTTTGTTTCTCCTCACCTCCCCGTCTGTTGGTGTCACATGTTTTCAGGGATAGGATGTGTTTCACAATAGATATGTTACCTCCTTCACATGCCAACATCAGACAGTCTGTGTTGTATTCATCAGTAAGGGTCAGGTCTGCACCTTCAGATACGAGGAGATGATAAACATCATTGTGTCCTCCTTTCAATGCCATCATCATTGGTGTTTGTTTCCGCTCTCCTCCCCGTCTGTTGATATCACATGTTTTCAGGGATAGGATGTGTCTCACAATAGATGTGTCACCTCTTTCACATGCCAACATCAGACAGTCTGTGTTGTTTTTATCAACAAGAGACAGGTCTGCACCCTCAGAAACAAGGAGATGATATATATCATAGTATTTTCCGTTCAATGCCATCATAATTGGTGTTCGTTCACTATATCCTCCTCGTCTGTTAATATCACAAGTTTTCAGGGATAAGATGTGTCTCACAATAGATATGTTACCTCTTTCACATGCCAACATCAGACAGTCTGTGTTGTATTTATCCTTAAGGGTCAGATCACCACCTTCAGAGACAAGGAGATGATAAACATCATTGTGCCCTCCTTTCAATGCAATCATAATTGGTGTTTGTTTCAGCTCTCCTCCCCGTCTGTTACTATCGCATGTTTTCAGGGATAGGATTTGTCTCACAATAGATATGTTACCTCTTTCACATGCCAACATCAGACAGTCAGTATTGTTTTTATCAGTAAGGATCGGATCTGCACCTTCAGATACAAGGAGATGATAAACATCATTGTGCCCTCCTTTCAATGCCATCATCATTGGTGTTTGTTTCCGCTCTCCTCCCCGTCTGTTGATGTCACATATTTTCAGGGATAGGGTGTGTCTCACAATAGATATGTTACCTTTTTCACATGCCAACATCAGACAGTCTGTGTTGAATTCATCAGTAGGGGTCAGATCTGCACCTTCAGATACAAGGAGATGACAAACATCATTGTGTCCTTCTTCCAATGCCATCATCATTGGTGTTTGTTTCCGAGCTCTTCCCCGTATGTTGATGTCACATGTTTTCAGGGATAGGATGTGTCTCACAATAGATATGTTACCTCTTTCACATGCCAACATCAGACAGTCTGTGGTTTTTTTATCAGTAAGGGTCAAATCTGCACCTTCAGATACAAGGAGATGATAAACATCATTGTGTCCTTCTTCCAATGCCATCATCATTGGTGTTTTTTTCCGCTCTCCTCCTCGTCTGTTGATGTCACAAGTTTTCAGGGATAGGATGTGTCTCACAATAGATACGTTACCTCCTTCGCATGCCAACATCAGAGAGTCTGTATTGTTTTTATCAGTAAGGGTCGGATCTGCACCCTCAGATACAAGGAGATAATAAACATCATTATGTCCTCCTTTCAGTGCCATCATCATTGGTGTTTGTTTCTGCTCTCCTCCCCGTCTGTTGATGTCACATGTTTTCATTGATAGGATGTGTTTCACAATAGATATGTTACCTCCTTCACATGCCAACATCAGAGAGTCTGTGTTGTATTCATCAGTAAGTGTCAGATCTGCACCCTCAGATACAAGGAGATGATATACACCAAAGTGTCCTCCTTTCAATGCCATCATAACCGGTGTTTGTTTCCTATATCCTCCCCGTCTGTTGATGTCACATGTTTTCATGGATAGGATGTGTTTCACAATAGATATGTTACCTCCTTCACATGCTAACATCAGACAGTCTGTGTTGTTTTCATCAGTAAGGGCCAGGTCTGCACCCTCAGATACGAGGAGATGATAAACAGCATGGTGCCCTCCTTCCAATGCCATCATAATTGGTGTTTGTTTACCATATGCTCCCCGTCTATTGATGTCACATGTTTTCATGGTGAGGATGTGTTTCACAATAGATATGTTACCTCCTTCACATGCTAACATCAGACAGTCTATATTGTATTTATCAGTAAGGGTCAGGTCTGCACCCTCAGATACAAGGAGATGATAAACAGCATGGTTCCCCCCATTCAATGCCATCATAATTGGTGTTTGTTTACTATATGCTCCACGTCTATTGATGTCACATGTTTTCATGGAGAGGATGTGTTTCACAATAGATATGTTACCCCTTTCACATGCTAACATCAGACAGTCTTTGTTGTATTCATCAGTAAGGGCCAGGTCTGCACCCTCAGATACAAGGAGATGATAAACATCATAGCCTCCTCCTTCCAATGCCATCATAATTGGTGTTTGTTTCAGCTCTCCTCCCCGTCTGTTGACATCACATGTTTTCAGGGATAGGATGTGTTTCACAATAGATATGTTACCTCCTTGACATGCCAACATCAGACAGTCTGTGTTATCTTCATCAGTAAGATTCAGGTCTGCACCCTCAGATACAAGGAGATGATAAACATCATTGTGTCCTCCTTTCAATGCCATCATAATTGGTGTTTGTTTCCTATATCCTCCCCTTCTGTTGATGTCACATGTTTTCATGGACAGGATGTGTTTCACAATATATATGTTACCTCTTTCACATGCCAACATCAGACAGTCTGTGTTGCATTTATCAGTAAGGGTCAGGTCTGCACCCTCAGATACAAGGAGATGATAAACATCATAGTGTCCTCTTTTTAATGCCATCATAACTGGTGTTTGTTTACCATATGATCTCCGTCTATTGATGTCACATGTTTTCATGGAGAGGATGTGTTTCACAACATATGTGATACCTTTTTCACATGCCAACATAAGACAGTCTTGGTTGTCTTCATCAGAAATGGTCAGGTCTGCACCCTCAGATACAAGGAGATGATATACATCATAGTGTCCTCCCTCCAATGCCATCATAATTGGTGTTTGTTTCATATCTCCTCCCCGCCGGTTGATGTCACATGTTTTCATTGATAGGATGTGTCTCACAATAAATATGTTACCTCCTTCACATGCCAACATCAGACAGTCTGTGTTGTTTTTATCAGTAAGGGTCAGATCTGCACCCTCAGATGCAAGGAGATGATATACATCACAGTGTCCTCTTTCTAATGTCATCATAATTGGTGTTTTGTTCACCTCTCCCCTCCGTCTGTTGATGTCACATGTTTTCAGGGATAGGATGTGTTTCACAATAGAGATGTTACCTCTTTCACATGCCAACATGAGACAGTCTCTGTTGTGTTCATCAGTAAGGGTCAGATCTGCACCTTCAGAAACAAGGAGATGACAAACATCATAGTGTCCTTCTTCCAATGCCATCATAATTGGTGTTTGTTTCCTATATCCTCCCCGTCTGTTGATGTCACATGTTTTCATGGATAGGATGTGTTTCACAATAGATATGTTACCTCCTTCACATGCAGACATCAGACAGTCTGTGTTGTCCGCATCAGTACGGGCCAGGTCTGCACCCTCAGATACAAGGAGATGATATACATCACAGTCTCCTCTTTCAAATGTCATCATAATTGGTGTTTTCTTCAGCTCTCCTCTCCGTCTGTTGATGTCACATGTTTTCAGGGATAGGATGTGTTTCACAATAGAGATGTTACCTCCTTCACATGCAAACATCAGACAGTCTGTGTTGTATTGATCAGTAAGGGTCAAATCTGCGCCCTCAGATACAAGGAGATGATAAACATCATTGTGTCCTCCTTTCAATGCCATCATAATTGGTGTTTGTTTCCTATATCCTCCCCGTCTGTTGATGTCACATGTTTTCATGGATAGGATGTGTTTCACAATAGAGATGTTACCTCCTTCACATGCAGACATCAGACAATCTTTGTTGTATTGATCAGTAAGGGTCAGATCTGCGCTCTCAGATACAAGGAGATGATATACACCATAGTGCCCACGTTCTGCTGTCATCATAATTGGTGTTCGTTTCCTATATCCTCCCCGTCTGTTGATGTCACATGTTCTCATTGACAGGATGTGTTTCACAATAGACATGTTACCTCCTTCACATGCAAACATCAGACAATCTTTGTTGCATTTATCAGTAAGTGTCAGATCTGCGCCCTCAGATACAAGGAGATGATATACACCATAGTGCCCACGATGTGCTGCCATCATAATTGGTGTTCGTTTCCTATATCCTCCCCGTCTGTTGATGTCACATGTTCTCATTGACAGGATGTGTTTCACAATAGACATGTTACCTCCTTCACATGCAAACATCAGACAGTCTGTGTTGTATTCATCAGTAAGTGTCAGATCTGCACCCTCAGATACAAGGAGACGACACACATCACAGTGTCCTCTTCTCAATGCCATCATAATTGGTGTGTGTTTCCAAAATCCTCCCTGTCTGTTGATGTCACATATTTTCATCAATAGGATGTGTTTCACGATGGATATGTGACCTCCTTCACATGCCAACATGAGACAGTCTGTGTTGTTTTGATCAGTAAGGGTCAGATCTGCACCCTCAGATACAAGATGCTGATAAACACCACAGTGTCCTCCTTTTGCTGCCATCATAGCTGCTGTTTGCCTCAAACGTGTTTTCTTCTTGTTCACATCAAATGTTTTCAATGAAATTAAAAAAATCACAGTTGACAGATTGCCATTTTCACTCGCTAAATGCAAACAATCTGTCTTGTCGGTAAGCGTTAAATCGGCCCCTTTTTGTTTAAGGAACTTCAGGATATCAAGGTGTCCTGCTTTGGCACAAAGCATTGCAGGTGTTAAACCCTCGTAACTCATCAAATTTATTAAAACAGGACACGTTTCAGTCGCCTTTGTTGTCAAGGCCATGCTTCCTGATTCACAGGCATAATGCAAACACGTCTTTCCTTTCCAGTCCCTCGCTGAAGCATCAGCATCTTTTCGTCTGAGAAAGTTGAACACCTCTAAATGTCCTGACTTGGCAGCCATGAGCAGGAGTGTTTGCCCATCTATGCTATATTCAACATCGAATCCTTCATGTAGACACATCACTGTAACCAGGTGTTCCAGGTGTTTCAGTTTGCCAAGTGTGACACAGGCTACCACACAACCATATAGGTCAGGTACAGTGTCACCGAGTCTTCCAACAACATCTAAACATTTTGAAAATAGAAAGTAACTTTCAGATATGGAAGCCAAATACAAAAAGCAATCACCAGAGTCCTTATCTTTTTGTAGAACAATTTCAACAATGTTATCCTCAATCTCTGTCCATACCAGGGAGGCAATACTCTCATCATGGAGAACTGGATGTTTTACTGTCCAAATGAAGCATCCTTGTCGTATACCTTCCACCAGTCTGTTCACTATTGTTTGGTGTAGTCCGGGGGTGATGTAGGTCATGTTTGTCACATCATCAATGTCTGATGACTGTAGATCTTTACCAAGCCTCACTCTTTCATACATGAATTTCAAGGAGCAATGTTCCAACAGCAACACGATATTGAGATGTCCTACAGCACAGGCTGCAGCATCGTATATGGAGGGGTGAGAGAAAGATGCGATGTGATCCTCGACTGTACAGTAGATCCCTGTAAAGTTGTGGATCTCCTTGGCAATGCCGGTGCGTGTACAACAAGGAACTACTTCCTTCACAGCATCAAACATTTCATGTCCAGACTTCCGTGACTGCAAAGAAACAAGGTTCAGGTTTCCATCACACAGGATGAGGAGGATGATGGCTGCCGATCTGTTGTTTTCTTCCCGGACAATGGTGTCAAGATCACCTCTCAGGTAGGTCAGGGGATGATTGAAGAATTTCAGGATGTGCATCTGGAAGGCTGCATTGGTGAAAAAGAGTCTGCCGATAAGAGGGAATCCAAATATATTGTATCTTGAATTTGTGATGCAACAAATATCCTTTTCAGAAATATCACATGTAGGATGTTTGGTCTTATAGGAACGTAATATACGTTTCTTCTCTTCAACCGTTAGACAGTCTTTGGTCATATTAAGAACAGCTTCTGTTTTAAGTAGGTCCACTTTGTACTGATGTAGTTTTGAACATCCCTCCTGCCAGTTGTATGTCCTGGATGTAAACACAACCTTCAGGCTGTAGATGGGGGCTTCTTCATTGGATTGTTCCTTAGCTTTGGATTGTTTTTCTTTCTTCTTCTTGGAATCCCTCTCTGTATCAGCAGCAGTTTTGGCAAGATCATCAACCAAGGCACTGAACAATTTACGTAGTTTTTCCAAATTTGCACTGAATGTGACAGAGCCAAATATATCATCGAAAACAACCAGCAAGTGCGACTGCCTTTTAGAAATTGTATCAACGTCAAAATGTTCAATGTGTTCCACGAACACTGTTTCATATTTCTTTTGTTGATATGCCTCACAGATCATCATAGCAATGCTGGTCTTCCCATCTCCAGGAGCTCCACAGACGGTGACATGGCCATGTGTCTCAAGGAGTTGTTTGGCTGTCTGAAGGGCATGGATGTCCACAAAATACTCCTTTACGTGTCCCACCTTCTGACAGAAACGTTCTGTGAGAAAACAAAAAAAACAATGATTGTTTGAAAAGAGAATTTGGTCAGTATTTGCTTCTTATTTCAGTCAACTCCTTCAAGCAAGTAAGTGTAGCATTTTTACCTTTAAGATCACCATGGAGGACCAAAACAGAGGATAAAAATAGTGACCAAAACATTTTAAATATGTATGTGGTGATGCATTATTGCCCACCTGGTACATTCAAAGTGAGCTTAAGGGCACTTTCTTAGATATATGACTTTCATTTAAGCGCAGAGGAAGGTGCCAAAGAAAATTGTCGGCACTGTCTCTCTCGGTTACCTGGTGAATAAAATGTGTGCCCAGATACGTGTTACCCTGCCTGGTGTTTCGGATTAAGGGGATAAAACAAGAACTGGTTCGATCAGCTCGAAGTCAGTGTAATGTGTCTGAGTGGGGCAACCATGTTAAACTGTTGCATGCATAATATTTTAGTGGACAAGTAGTACATAAACGGATGATTGAATTCCGACTGGAACAAGCCACCACACATGCATGTACGTTGGTGTATGAGAGTGCAGTAATCTTGAACGTGAATTAAAGCCCAACCTCTCACTTGACTCTCTCTGATATTTTAGACACTGTTGCTAACCAGGAACGGTAAAGTAGTGTAAGTAGTGTCTGTTTGGTTTGACAATGATGAATCTGTTTTATATGCTGACAAAAGAATAATAACTACACTCAGAACAATTTATGTTCTAACCGGGTTGCTAGATGCTGAAAGTAGTTAAGCACATAGGATATCAAGAGGATGTTTTTCAAAGTGACCACTTCATAAGCCTTTAACATGATCACATTACCTTTAAGTTTGGTTGAACAGATTGCATAAACAAAGCCTAAAACAGCCAAACAAACAAAAACATCAGTTCACCAATATTAATGTTTAGAATGTATTTACTGAGTCTTCATCTCTTACTTCAGATACCTTGTAATTGTTTAATGAAGATAAGGAATACACACCTGAAGACACCTCCTCCATTATCTAGTGTATTGTATCTCCCTACTATTGTCAAATATACCCCTGGTAGTTGCGTTCCAGTGGTAACGTAACCCTCTCCAACGCACTTATCACTGATCCAGCACAGAAGTGCTCGAGGTCATCAGGTAAAAATCAACCACCAATCATAATGCCTCTTCTAAATGAGTTCAGAAAAGATCAAAATTCAAAATGAATGGATGGATGGATGGATGGATGGATGGATGCTTGAAATAGTAACATTAGTAATTAATAAAATGACATAAACTATTGCTGTGATGAATGATATATACCTGCCATCTGGTGAGAGGTAATTTGTAGAACAACCCATGTAAAATACGAAATCAAAATGTTTATCAAATATCTTTAATATAACATGTTTTTGCACTTTTGAATGTACATGAATATCACCAAAGAGAATTGTTTGGATCGAGAACTGACCTCCAACGGATATAATATTGTTGTATAATGAAGTTCTAATGGCATTATGATCAGCACATTCGAGAACGAAATGACAGACGTTTTCATATAGATTTCCACACAAATATGTTAAACATTCTGACAAAATGATTTTAATAAAATCTGCACTGATTGTACAGCTACTAATATTGTTTCTATTTCTAAGGTTATCGTGCCTAGTCTTAGTGGTAACAGGTCACTCAAGTAGCTGGGCATACGTTGTTACGAGAGATTGTTCAGCCCTTCCCAAATATTAAATGGCCATTCCTTACGCCATATGACCATGCTAAATTGTCCGCTTTTCATTCTCATAATAATAGTTATCCTCTACAACTCATCAGCATGTGCATGCCAGGTGACGTCTCACCTTGTGACAGACATCCTCTAGCTCCTTGTTCTCCGAGGGAGACGGAGACATTGGAAGCATTGGTCAAGTCCACCTGAGATACAGGACCACCTGCAACAGAACAAGAGAACCAATGGTCACATTATTGTCCAATAAATAATAGCGACAAAACCCTTCCATAATCAGGATATGAACTGTCCACGCTGGAGAATAACCAGTCTTGCTCATCACATGGTTACAGCCCGGCAAAGCCACATTTCGAAAATAGATAGCCCAAATGGATGTGGCTCTCGCGGCAATGGTTATGGTTGCGTGATTGTATAATGTGGCTCTCGCGGCTATGCTGTCAAAACATGCTTTGTGATTCTAACAGGTTACCGTATATAACAAAACAAGTCTTGTTTTCTCATGTTTTATTCAACAAGGATAACAGTAACATATTCATCAAAACTTTACATTGATGAATATGAATAGCATAATGGATTTAATGTTATTAGTGCAGAAGAAAGGGGGTCGCCCACGTGGTCAGCATATTCCATCTAACTCAAGTGTTGGTTCAGGAGCTGGATCTTGAGGGACGCAATACGTGGATCGAAAATGTGGCTCTACCGGCAATAGCCATTTCTGAAATGTGGCTCTCCCGGCTAGACACCCATCACATTTCATTCGACATAAAAGGCAAAATGGCGGAGAAAGTTGTATGGATGGCTCACAGAAAATCAGTGATGACACCAGGTGTTCGCAAAAAGGCGACGAGTGTCAAGTAAAAGATGACCAACCAGACGAACAAAGGATAGAAGAGACTTTCAGTCAATTGAGCTGAAGATATATTGAATAAATTCACGATGCACAAGCCCCGGAAAACAACTTTGGCTTATGAATTTATACAGAAGCAAATTAAGACAAGTTTCTTTTAATTAAAAAGATTACAGATTTTTTTATTAAAGATATAGTTTACCATATCTTGCAAATGACTGTAATTTGGCAAATGTTCAGGATAAAAGTTCACAGTAATAAACATTAACTCTAACAAATATATCATAACTAATTCTATAATTTTATCAATTCATCAATTCTTTATCTTACTTAATCAATAATGTAAGATCAGCTTCTGTTATTACTCATTCTTATCTAACTGTATGCATGACTACGTGTTTGAAGTGCTCACTGTAGTTGTGCTGTGTTGCAGATATAGAGGTTGGTTGTCTCCCTTGTTCAGTCCCCCTCAGTGCTTCAGCTGCTTCCTCAGCGAGCCATCTGGTCATCTGACGGTCACGTGAGTCGGGATTTCCTTCCATTTCTCACTACTCTGAAAACAAACCACAAGTACTACCATTGATACTTATGACTGACCGAGGACTTTGATCAAGCTACCAGGAATCCTTACTACTTACCACCAACAGAAATATCCATTTCCAGTTTACCAGCTTAAAAACAAGGTGTGAAGTTGGCATTTTAAAATAGCTTTTCACCAACAAAGCTATATGCACTTGCGCCTTAATTACCTTGACCTTCAATCACAACACACAAACATTTTGCAAGCATATAATGGAGTTACCAATATTAAGTCATGCTGCATGCTGTCCGTACAGTCTGAATGATGTTGTTTTTGTGTTTTAGTTTCAAGCAAGAGGTCCAGGGGGTACATAGAAGAACAAACAGTTTGGTATGGGTGTTAACAGGCAAGTCTTTGATATCACATATAGGTTGACTCAGGCAATTAGGACTAGTTTCATTTGAGAGAGAGAGCCACTTCAATTCAAAAGCCTTCGTCTTATTGTTTCTGTCTCAATGTGGCAAGTACCTTTAATCCCCCTTAGATCAGTGTTTAGTGATCGATGTACAACATGATCAGTCACATGACATTATACACAGGACGTTTATCAACAGCAGCTGACATTAGGGCATACGATTGTTCTGAAGCAACATTATCATGAGATCAAGTTTGATGTGCTTTAGTGAAAAGTAAGTTTTGAGGTATGTTTTCATTTCTTTTTTTAATATCTTACCTGGTGCAGCTTAAATCGTAGCATAACATCAGTGGCAAGTGGTGAACACGTTCAGGTGTTCGGAGGGCTTTGAACCGTCTACCTTCATTACGTCATTAAGCGCGTGGTTTCGTACTGTTAATGTTTAGGGGCTCAAAAATAGGTGAGGTTCGAAAACATGTGGCGTAGGGATACTTAACTGAGGTAAAAGTTAATTCGCCTCGCCAATATTTCAGCCATAATGTGACATACATGTTTATAAATGCACACACTTAATCCCTCATCGTTTCATGTCAATCCAAATACTTATAAATAGAAGCGCTAGTAAAATATAAAAAATATATGGTTAAATCATCACATCATACTGCATCAAATGTTTCTTTTTATTCAAAATGTAATGAGACTTGAAACAATTCAATATGTATATGAAATAAATTATTAAACAATTATATTTCTCTGCTGTATTTGTTTTGTCTACGAGTTCATCTCACATTTTGTCTACGAGATTGGAGTGTCCACGAATTGTCCTTGGCTACGAATTGACCTACAGATGATTATATGGCCTGTGTTTCGTTCCTCTATAAATGCGTGTACGTTTTGAACTGAATTGAATTAATAGAACACTAAAGTAAGACTTGACATAAACATGTATTAGATAGGTGAGGATGAGAATGTATCAAGTGAAGTCAGTTGTTTAATAACGGTGTTATAACCTACACCGAAACGTCGCCCCTAATGTAATAAAGTAGTTGTTCAACCATATAGTTTATCCTTACTTATAACAGCTTATAAGCATGTTTGCAAGGGCAGACAATTTCAGTCTCAACTAATTAAGCTAAGTTGTCTCCCTTTGCACGGGAAAATTCCTATTTTCGTTTTTAAAAAATCCCCGCAAAATCATATTTTAGTCCCTGTTTGAAATATATAGTTAATAATTGACCTACCTTTTCTGACATATATTCCCTGCTTTAAATCTTAAGTTAATGATTGGCTTTCTTCTGACATATTGTAAAGGCAACATACCAAACCTTGCTGTCTGTGTATCACATACAATCGAAGCTGTACAGGACACTGGGATAGATTACAGCCCCCGCAGTACATAATAGAACAAACCAAACGTTCTTCTTTAATAAAAGACATCCATATAATGGCTGAAATACATTGACTGGTGTAGTATGCAAACAGACAGTACTCACGTCCGACTGATGAATTCCTATCAGTAGTGTCAGGTAAATCTTATCACCTGAAGTCACATCTTATCGTCGTTTGGGTTTTCGGATATCAGGAGATATATCTGTTCTAGGCCGGAGAGTAGTGCAAACAGTGGGAAGCTACCATCACCGAGGGAACTGCTACCACTGCGGAGAGACTGCCGAGTGATACGCCATCGAATCTAGTTCCGCGTTCATTGTCAAGCCGGGTATGACTGATATGTAGGTCACTGCGTTATCCAATCATAATGCTTTGTCGTGTACTGTTGGCAGTCAGGTGGAGGGGGGTCGGGGAGAGGGGGAGGGGGGTCGGCCGGGGTGTGTGGGGGTGTGGGGGGGGGGGCGGGGGGGGGGGGGGGGGCGGTGTGTGTATTGAATATGCATATACCAGGGATGTGAAATCTCCGCGGAAACGCGGAAAATCGCGTTTTTTAAAAGAGTAGTCCTCGGAAAAAATCATCTTCCGCGTAAAATTTTAATAACATTTTTTTCATAAAAACACTCCGAAAAATATGATTTACCGTAATCCCGGGTCAAGTGTTGGGCGCGTTTTTAGTTTGTATCGAGATTTATTCAGCTGCAGGTAAAAATTGCTGTTTATACAAGATAGCTTCTCGATAAATTGAATGAAGAAAGATACATTCTGCTATAATGATTTGAACATACGCTCTCAACTTCATGACGTCGTAATTTGGACGACTTTATTTTTGGGAGGGTAGTGAGTTGTTCCCCTTTGATGTAACTGAGCAACGCGGATAAATGCAATGGCCAAACGGTCACATCCAAACGATAGCGCGTTGTGAGAATCGGTTTTGGGAGGAGAGGTACAGGTAATCGAAGGGGTGATTGTGAGAATATTTAGAACATACCGCACGCACGCACGCACGCACGCACGCACGCACGCACACGCACACGCACACGCACACGCACACACACAGACACACACGGTAAGAATTACCATGCTTGAAGCCTGTAAATTTTGTAATTTTGAGGTTGTTAATAGTGTTGACATCTCATATAAAAAATAAAGGATGAGTGTTGGTGGGGTTGTTTATCCTACACATAAACACTGCATGGATAATAAACTATCAGACGTTTAATACTTTGGTGAAACCCACACACGCGGCATGGTGTCGACACATCAGGAGATATAAACAGGGTGTATTGTTATTTGATCCCGCAATCACAGGTGTCTGGTGCGCCTATGGGACGCAATTGTTAACAACGACCTGCAACACCTAACACGGCTGGGCCGCTTGAAACTTGAGATATAATCATTATTATCAGCACAAAGATTCGGCTGGATCCGTCCAACACCTGCATCACTTGGGACTTCTCATCCATCTCGACCTGACACACCGTCCGGTAACTCGAACCGAAATAGAAAAGTGGTCCCCATCGTCTTTTTTGAAAATTGTCAAAAATTCATTTTTTTTCAAAATTCCATATTTTTCGCCGTAAAGCTTAAGAACTGAATCAAAATAGAATAATATATTTACCACACTAATTGTTTAAGTTTGGCTTCAAACCAAAAGAATGAACATAATCTATTATGGTTCTTGACAATATTAAAGTGTGCTTTTTCCCACCTTAAAAAGTAAGAAATAACAATTTCACTTTAACAGGCTCCAGTTAGATATCTGGAAATCGCCTAGGAACTTAGCATCCCCGCTCCTTTGTCGCACACCATCTTCCCATGAACTCGATACACGTGTACACCTCACGTTCTCGCATTGATACCTGGAGCTCGGTACACACATCACGTTGTCACATTGATACCTTGAACTCGATACACACCTCACGTTGTCACATTGATACCTGGAACTCGGTACACACATCACGTTCCTACATTGATACCCTGAACTCGATACACACCTCACGTTGTCACATTGATACCCTGAACTCGATACACACCTCACGTTGTCACATTGATACCTGGAACTCGGTACACACATCATGTTGTCACATTGATACCCTGAACTCGATACACACCTCACGTTGTCACATTGATACCTGGAACTCGGTACACACATCACGTTGTCACATTGATACCCTGAACTCCAAACACACCTCACGTTGTCACATTGATACCTGGAACTCGATACACACCTCACGTTGTCACATTGATACCTGGAACTCGATACACACCTCACGTTGTCACATTGATACCTGGAACTCGATACACACATCACGTTGTCACATTGATACCTGGAACTCGATACACACATCATGTTGTCGCATTGATACCTGGAACTCGATACACACCTCACGTTGTCACATTGATACCTATAACTCGATACACACATCAAGTTGTCGCATAGATACCTGGAACTCGATACACACATCACGTTGTCGCATGGATACCTGGAACTCGATACACACATCACGTTGTCGCATAGATACCTGGAACTCGATACACACATCACGTTGTCGCATAGATACCTGGAACTCCATACACACCTCACGTTCTCACATTGATACCTGGAACTCGATACAAACATCACGTTGTCGCATTGATACCTGGAATTCGATACACACATCACGTTGTCACATTGATACCTGGAACTCGATACAAACATCACGTTGTCGCATTGATACCTGGAATTCGATACACACCTCACGTTGTCACATTGATACCCTGAACTCGATACAAACATCACGTTGTCACATTGATACCTGGAACTCCAAACACACCTCACGTTGTCACATTGATACCTGGAACTCGATACACACCTCACGTTGTCACATTGATACCTGGAACTCGATACACACCTCACGTTGTCACATTGATACCTGGAACTCGATACACACATCACGTTGTCACATTGATACCTGGAACTCGATACACACATCATTTTCTCGCATGGATACCTGGAACTCGATACACACCTCACGTTGTCACATTGATACCTGGAACTCGATACACACCTCACGTTGTCACATTGATACCTGGAACTCGATACACACATCACGTTGTCGCATTGATACCTGGAATTCGATACACACCTCACGTTGTCACATTGATACCCTGAACTCGATACACACATCACGTTGTCACATTGATACCCTGAACTCCAAACACACCTCACGTTGTCACATTGATACCTGGAACTCGATACACACCTCACGTTGTCACATTGTTACCTGGAACTTGGTACAGACCTCACGTTGTCGCATTGATACCTGGAACTCAATACACACATCACGTTGTCACATTGATACCTGGAACTCGATACACACCTCACGTTGTCACATTGATACCTGGAACTCGGTACACACATCACGTTGCTACATTGATACCCTGAACTCGATACACACCTCACGATGTCACATTGATACCCTGAACTCGATACATACCTCACGTTGTCACATTGATACCTGGAACTCGGTACACACATCACGTTGTCACATTGATACCCTGAACTCGATACACACCTCACGTTGTCACATTGATACCTGGAACTCGGTACACACATCACGTTGTCACATTGATACCCTGAACTCCATACACACCTCACGTTGTCACATTGATACCTGGAACTCGATACACACCTCACGTTGTCACATTGATACCTGGAACTCGATACACACCTCACGTTGTCACATTGATACCTGGAACTCGATACACACATCACGTTGTCACATTGATACCTGGAATTCGATACACACATCACGTTCTCGCATAGATACCTGGAACTCGGTACACACATCACGTTGTCACATTGATACCCTGAACTCGATACACACCTCACGTTGTCACATTAATACCTGGAACTCGGTACACACATCACGTTGTCACATTGATACCCTGAACTCCATACACACCTCACGTTGTCACATTGATACCTGGATCTCGATACACACCTCACGTTGTCACATTGATACCCTGAACTCGATACACACCTCACGTTGTCACATTGATACCTGGAACTCGATACACACATCACGTTGTCACATTGATACCCTGAACTCGATACACACCTCACGTTGTCACATTAATACCTGGAACTCGGTACACACATCACGTTGTCACATTGATACCCTGAACTCCATACACACCTCACGTTGTCACATTGATACCTGGAACTCGATACACACCTCACGTTGTCACATTGATACCTGGAACTCGATACACACCTCACGTTGTCACATTGATACCTGGAACTCGATACACACCTCACGTTGTCGCATTGATACCTGGAACTCGATACACACCTCACGTTGTCACATTGATACCTGGAACTCGATACACATCACGTTGTCACATTGATACCTGGAACTCGATACACACATCACGTACTCACATTGATACCTGGAACTCTGTACACACATCACCTTGTCACATTGATACCTGGAACTCGATACACACATCACGTTCTCGCATTGCTACATGGAACTCGATACACACATCACGTTCTCACATTGATACCTGGAACTCGATACACACCTCACGATGTCACATTGATACCTGGAACTCGGTACACACATCACGTTGCTACATTGATACCCTGAACTCGATACACACCTCACGTTGTCACATTGATACCCTGAACTCGATACACACCTCACGTTGTCACATTGATACCTGGAACTCGGTACACACATCACGTTGTCACATTGATACCCTGAACTCGATACACACCTCACGTTGTCACATTAATACCTGGAACTCGGTACACACCTCACGTTGTCACATTGATACCCTGAACTCCATACACACCTCACGTTGTCACATTGATACCTGGAACTCGATACACACCTCACGTTGTCACATTGATACCTGGAACTCGATACACACCTCACGTTGTCACATTGATACCTGGAACTCGATACACACCTCACGTTGTCACATTGATACCTGGAACTCGATACACACATCACGTTGTCACATTGATACCTGGAACTCGATACACACCTCACGTTGTCACATTGATACCTGAAACTCGGTAAACACATCACGTTCTCGCATAGATACCACGAACTCGATACACACCTCACGTTCTCACATTGACACCTAGAACTCGATACACACATCACGTTCTCACATTGATACCTGGAGCTCGGTACCCACCTCACATTGTCACATTGATACCTGGAGCTCGATACACACCTCACATTCTCGCATTGATACCTGGAAGTCGATACACACATCACGTTCCCACATTGATACCTGGAACTCGATACACACTTCACGTTGTCACATT